ACACTTCCAAGAAGGTACACTGGGGCAGTATGCCTCCAAGAAGTAAGGTACACTGGGGCAGTACACCTTCAGGAGTAAGTACCTGGGAGTACACCTCCAAAGAATACTGAGCAGTACACTTCAGAAGGTACCTGGGCAGTATACCTCCAAATAAGTACACTGGGGCAGTATACCTCCAAGAGTAAGGTACACTGAGACATTCAGAGTAAGGTACACTGGGCAGTACACCTACAGAGTAAGTGCTGGGGTACACCTTCAGGAAATGGGTACACTGGGGCAGTACACCTTCAAGTAAGGTACACTGGGCAGTACACCTTCAGGAGTAAGGTACACTGGGGCAGTACCTTCAGGAATGGTACACTGGGGCAGTACCCTCCAGAGTAAGGTACTGGGGCAGTACACCTTCAGAAGTAAGGTACACTGAGGCAGTACACCTTCAAGTAAAGGTACACTGGGGCAGTACCTTCAGGAAGTAAGGTACACTGGGGCAGTACACCTCCAAGTAAGGTACACTGGGCAGTACACCTCCAAGTAAAAGGTACACTGGGGCAGTACACCTTCAAGTAGGGTACACTGGGGCAGTACACCTTCAAGAAGTAAGGTACACTGGGGCAGTACACCTTCAGGAGTAAGGTACTGGGCAGTACACCTCCAAGAGTAAAGGTACACTGGGGCAGTACACCTTCAAGTAAGGTACACTGGGGCAGTACACCTTCAAGAAGTAAGGTACACTGGGCAGTACACCTCCAAGAAATGAAGTACACTGGGCAGTACACCTCCAGAAGTAAGTACTCTGAGGCAGTACACCTCCAGAACTAAGGTACTCTGGGGCAGTACACCTTCAGAAGTGAGTACACTGGGGCAGTACACCCCCAAGTAAGTACCTGGGCAGTACCTTCAAGTAGTACACTGGGCAGTACCTTCAAGTAAGGTACACTGGGGCAGTACACCTCCAAGAAGTAATGCACTGGGGCAGTACACCTTCAGGAAGTAAGGTACACTGGGGCAGTACACTTCCCAGAAATAGGTACACTGGGGCAGTACACCTTCAGAAATGAGTACACTGGGGCAGTACACCTTCAGAGTAAAGGTACACTGGGCAGTACGCTTCAAAAATAAGTGCACTGGGACAATACACCTTCAAGAAGTAAAAGTACACTGGGCAATACACTTCAGAAGGTCACACTGGGGCAGTATGCTCCAAAAGTAGTATGGGGCAGTACACCTTCAGAAGTAAGGTACACTGAGACAGTCACTTCAAGAGTAAGGTACACTGAGGGCAGTACACTTCCAGAAGGTACACTGGGCATACCTTCAGGAAGTAAGGCACGGGGCAGTACACCTTCAGGAGTAAGGTACACTGGGGCAGTACCTTCAAGTAAGGTACACTGGGGCAGTACCTTCAAGAAGCAAGATACACTGGGGCAGTACACCTCCAAGTAGGTACACTGGGGCAGTACACCTTCAAGAAGTAAGGTACACTGGGGCAGTACACCTCCAAGTAAGGTACACTGGGCAGTACACCTTCGAAATAAGTACCACTGGGCACACCTCCAAGTAAGGTACACTGGGGCAGTACATTCAAGAATATAAGGTACACTGGGGCAGTACACCTCCAAGTAGGCACTGGGGCGTACCTCCAAGAGTAAAGTACACTGGTGCAGTACACCTTCAAAGTAAGGTACACTGGGGCAGTACACCTTCAGGAAGTAAGATACACTGGGGCAGTACACCTCCAAAAGGGTGCAGTACCTTCAGAGAAGTAATACACTGGGGCAGTACACCTTCAGGAGTAAAGTACACTGAGGCAGTACACCTTCGAAGTAAGGTACACTGGGGCAGTACACCTCAAGAGTGAATCTCAAGAGTAAGGTACACTGGGCAGTACACCTTCAGAAGTAAGATACACTGGGGCAGTACACCTCCAAGAGTAAGGGTACACTGGGGCAGTACACCTTCAAGTAAAAGGTACACTGGGGCAGTACACCTTCAGAGTAAGATACACTGGGGCATACAACTCCAGAAGTAAGGTACACTGGGGTACACCTTCAGGAGTAAGGTACACTGGGGCAGTACACCTCAAGTAAGGTACACTGGGTGACACCTCAAAAGCAAGGTACACTGGGGCAGTACACCTCAAGTAGTGCAGGGCAGTACCTTCAGGAGTAAGGTACACTGGGCAGTACACACCTTCAGGAGTAAAGACACTGGGGCAGTACACCTTCAGGAGTAAGGTACACTGGGGCAGTACCTCCAAAATAAGGTACACTGGGGCAGTACACCTTCAGAAAGTAAGATACACTGGGGCAGTACCTCAAGTAAGGTACACTGGGGCAGTACCTCAAGTAAGGTACACTGGGCAGTACACCTCCAAGTAAGGTACACTGGGGCAGTACACCTTCAGGAAGTAAGGTACACTGGGGCAGTACACCTCCAAGTAAGGTACACTGAGACGATGCACCTTCGAAGTAAGGTACACTGGGGCAGTACACCTTCAGAGTAAGATACTGGGGTACATTCAGGAGTAAGGTACACTGGGGCAGTACACCTTCAGGAAGTAAGGTACACTGGGGCAGTACACCTTCAGGAGTAAGGTACTGGGGCAGTACACCTTCAGGAGTAAGGTACTGGGGCAGTACCCTTCAGAGTAAGATACACTGGGGCAGTACACCTTCAGGAATGTAGTACACTGGGGCAGTACACCTTCAAGTAAAAGTACACTGGGGCAGTACACCTTGAGAGTAAGGTACACTGGGACGTACACCTCAAAGTAAGGTACACTGGGGCAGTACCTTCAGAAGTAAGGTACACTGGGGCAGTACACCTTCAGGAAGTAGGTACACTGGGGCAGTACACCTTCAAGAGTAAGGTACACTGGGCAGTACACCTTCAAGAAGTAGTACACTGGGGCAGTACACCTTCGAAGTAAGGTACACTGGGGCAGTACACCTTCAAAAGGATTCACTGAGGCAGCACACCTTCAGGAGTAAAGGTACACTGGGGCAGCACACCTTCAAGAAGTAAGGTACACTGGGGCAGTACACCTCAAGTAAGGTACACTGGGGCAGTACACCTTCAAAAGTAAAGGTACCTGGGGCAGTACCTCAAGATGTAGGAACTGGGGCAGTACCTTCAAGAAGTAAGGTACACTGGGGCAGTACACCTTCGAATGGGGTACACTAGGGCAGTACACCTTCAGGTAAGGTACACTGGGGCAGTACACCTTCAAGAGTAAGGTACTGGGGCAGTACACCTTCAAAATGGTACACTGGGGCAGTACACCTTCAGAAAAGGTACACTGGGGCAGTACACCTTCAGGAAGTGAAAATACTCTGGGGCAGTACACCTTCAAGTAAGGTACCTCTGGGGCAGTACACCTTCAAGAAGTAAAGGTACACTGGGGCAGTACACCTTCAGGAGTAAGGTACACTGGGGCAGTACACCTTCAAGATGTAAGGTACACTCTGGGGCAGTACACCTTCAAGAGTAAGTACACTGGGGCAGTACACTGAGACAGTGCACCCTTCAGGAAGTAAGTACACGGGGCAGTACACCTTCAGAATAAGGTACACTGGGGCAGTACACCTTCAAGGAAAAAGGTACACTGAGGCAGTACACCTTCAGGAGTAAGGTACACTGAGGCAGTACCTTCAAGAGTAAGGTACACTGGGGCAGTACCTTCAGGAGTAAGATACACTGGGGCAGTACACCTTCAAGTAAGGTGCAGGACACCTTTAGAAGTAGGGTACACTGAGGCAGTACACCTTCAGAGTAAGGTACACTGGGGCAGTACACCTTCAGGAAGTAAGGTACACTGGGGCAGTACACCTCCAAAACAAGGTACACTGAGGCAGTACACCTTCAGGAAGTAAGGTACACTGGGGCAGTACACCTCCAAATAAGTACACCTAGGCAGTACACCTTCAAAGTGGTACACTGGGGCAGTACACCTTCAGGAGTAAGGTACACTGGGCAGTACACCTTCAGAATAAGGTACACTGGGCAGTACACCACCAAAAGTAAGGTACACCAGGGCAGTACACCTTCAGGAGTAAGGTACACTGGGGCAGTACACCTTCAAGTAAGGTACATGAGGGCAGTACACCTTCAAGAGTAAGATACACTGGGGCAGTACACCTTCAGGAGTAAGATACACTGGGGCAGTACACCTTCAAGTAAGGTACACTGGGGCAGTACCTTCAGGAGTAAGATACTGAGACAGTACACCTTCAAAAAGTAAGATACACTGGGGCAGTACACCTTCAAGTAAGATACACTGAGGCGTACACCTTCAGAATGCAAGATACACTGGGACAGTACCTTCAAGAAATGGGTACACCGGGGCACTACACCTTTAGAAAGTAGGGTACAATCTGGGGCAGTACAGCTTCAGGAAGTAAGGTACATGAACAGTACACCTACAGGAAGTACGGTACACCCATGGGCAGTACACCCTCGGGTACACCACCACAGCAATACTGAAGGACACAAGCTGGAGTCACACACACACACACACACACACAGTACAGGCAAGTCACCTTTTGAAACTGGAGCCATGCAGTGTGTGTGAACATTATGTCAGGTGTTGTAGCCAGTGGCGCACAACGGATTTAAAATGGCACCTGCCTAGCTTCCTGTTACGATGTACCTGTCTGGCTCCACTATATATATATATATATATATATATATATATATATATATATATATATATATATATATATATATATATATATATATATATATATATATATTAGATTGTGTGTAGTTGTTGTTTAGTGTTTGTGATCTGAGTGGTATTGGTCGTGCAGAGACAGTGTGCCTGATAAATTGTAAGCAGTCAACCTGGTGTGTGTCGAATGTTGTGGAGTGTGACCCAGCCAGGTGTGTGTTGGGTGTGTGTTGAGTGTATCCATAGTGTTGAGTGTAGAGCTATTTATATACTGTATATACCTTTAGTATATAAAATTCAGTTTGACTAAGCAAGATATTATTTCCTTCAGCAGCACAACTCGGCGCCCTACCTGGCCGGGATCCCCACCGCCAGGCAACTTCAACCCGTACATCGGCTCCCTCCCAGTCATGACCATGAGCATGTCGGACGGCGCCGTGGCCTCGCCCATCACCGGCGTGGTTCCCCAGCAGGTGGTCTCCGCCCAGAAGGTGCCAAGGACTGACCGGCTAGAGGTAGGACCCCCGCCCCCCACCCCGAGATCCCCTCCACCCCTATACTACCACTGTGGGGGGACTCCTCACGCACACATCCACACTATACTCTTATTACTTCGTCTGTATATTCTACTACATTATACTATATATAAAGGTCAAGTTTGGTATTTTGAAACTAGCTCTTGAATGTTGTCTCTGTGTTCATGATGTATTACTCTCGAATATTTCATCATTATCGCTTGTTCTTTCATGTATCCTAAGTTTATTTATTTATTTACTTGTTTATTTATTTATTTATTCATTCTTGGAGCTTATTTTGAGCACTTCTATTAGTAGTTCATCATTTTGCTTGCTTTGCCAGACTCCTCAGTTTGGGTGTTGAGGGAAACACAATGGAGAGTTTGACTAACGTAAATAAGGAGAGTTATATAAGAAGGAAGGGAGGGAAGGAACCATCCAAAGAGACAGCTTTTATGGTTATAATCATTTTTATGAGTGTATACAAAGGCTGTTCCACCTGTATTGTGTTTACCCTTTTGGAGGCCGCCGGAGGGGGGGGGGCACTGCCATATTCCACCACGCTTTAAAGAATTGCCAACCCATTTTGCCTCCCCCCCCCCCCCCTTCTCCAGTGTGGCACTGCCCCCCCCAACACTTCTTCCTTTTTCTCCTTAATAAAGTGGGACGGCGAGTCACCACTTCTCTAGTCTGGATTGTCTCGTTGCATCCCATTGTTTGTTCAACATTCACTGTGTTTTAGTTCTGGGAGCAGTGTTGCCAGATGCTCTCACTGATGCATCTCTTTATGAAAGGGAGCAACAACTTTCATAACTCAAAAATCCTTAGTAACTTTTTCTTACATGGCAATATTGCAATATTGATTGTATTTTTTTGTAATTTTGTATCTGTCTGGTATATGTAGACATTAGTAGCCATAAGACGATCTGTGCAACTCTACAGTATTACTGAACTTTAGGTATTTTTAAGTTGTTATTCTGTGTTGGTTAGAGTTTAAAACTTCAGTATTTTGATCATGATGATTGTCTAAATATATTTTTTCCTTGTGTTAGACAAACAAGAAGAAGAATTGATATATGCCGGCATGAAGTAGTGTTAGTAGTGAGGGTCCCTCTGAGGGGTGCAGCCCCCTCCCTCCCCAGCCCTGTTGCACGAGATCATGGGTACAAGGGGCCTTTCTCTTGGTGGTTGTTACCCCCTCCCTCCTCCCCTCACACCCTCACCACCACCTTTACATCCCTCTGATAATCAATATTAACACTGACTTAAGTGTCACTGTTATGTTTACTAGAGCAGATAAGTGGAGGTGGTGGGGTGGTGTGGGGTGGGGGAGGGGAACACCCCTCACTACTCTTAAGACTGGGCCCTCAACAGCTGCATTAGTTACTTAATATTCTTTCATTGGATACTATATTGCTTCCTTGGCTTCTTTTTTCAGTTCATATTTTATCATTTTTATATTATCTACATTTTTCTCTTTCAGGCTGTAAATAGGAGAAATTTTTATTTCAGTGGAAGTTGATCTAACCTGCTTTCTCTGTGTCGTGTGTGTGTGTGTGTGAGTCTTGTCCACACCTGTGTGATATATCTCTATAACCTGTTGTCTTACTCACCTCTTGTCTCCGGCCCCCTCAGGTCCTCCACTGAAGTTGTTACTTATATATTTCGAGCAGTGGTTCTTTATTAATAACAAACCATTTTTTCCTCATATATATATATATATACATATATAATTATATATATCTTTTCATCGATTAATCAACTGCATTTTTTATATTCTTATTTCAATTAATAGTTTATCTGCGTTACTTATCCGTCCGTTAACACAGATGTTGCTTCTCTAATTTGCCATATCGAATTTCTTATCTGTTCATTTGCTAACAGTTTATACTTATCTTTGTTCGTTACATTTTTTCGTAATTTTTTTTTCTCTTAATTTTGTAATGAATGGAGCACTGATTTTTAAATGAATGTATATTTATATTTAGATTCGTTGCATCGGCACTGTAACAAATATTTTTCTTGTAATAGTTAATGTTCCAGTAGCCGTTTTCGCTCAGGATTTCTCCTTGCGTGGCCACATGTAACCTTGAGGCAGAGTCGTCAACACAACGCCACTGTGCGCTGTAGCGCGTGCATAACCCCCCTCCATGCATAATCTGACGCATGACGTGTACCAAGCGTAGAGTCTCATTACACCAACACTGCGTTGAACAAGTAGAGCATCGCCCACTTGGTGTCGTCAGCGTAGTGTTGGTGGTGTTACGCTATTGGTATCCAGGTGTTTGGTCCCCCCCTCCTCGCGTCTCCGTCACATGGTCTCGGCCCACACGGCGTGGCAGGCACCCACACGGCATTTGATCACTCTGCATCATGGGTACATGTGAGCCTGCGCACCAGCGGCCGGTTGTCTGCTCAGCAAACCTCTTGCCGACACCACCATGATCACTAATGTCCCTCGAGTGCACCTTCCTCGCCACACTCATACCACCCAGTACTTCCCTCCACCAAGTCTCTCCATAACTCCTGTGGCAGGAACCCGTGTACCTTCACTGACTTGTGTGTTGACTGCTGGCTACACGTCCACCTGGCTCCCACACCCGTGTTATATCTCTATCTGTTTAAATGAGAAAGGCAAGGGCCGTACTGACCCAGGTCGCCAGCAGTCATCACACACAGCAGATGGCTCACATACACCACCTCCACCACCCACTGAAAAAAATAAATCATCTCTATCACTGTCTCTCGCCTATGATGTCAGATATAATTCGAACTAAATGTTGGACACCTGACAGTATGACAAGCTAGGTAGAGTTATCCTTTATTTTCCACTCCAACAGAGTTTTTGTTACAACCTCTTGCATAAAAGTGAGGGACTCGGTGTATGTTATTTGGAGAATGTTAGTGTGACTGGTGTATCTAACAAGATGGGATGGCTGAGTGTGGGTGGCCAGGTGGGTGTGGCAATACGTCGCTCATGAGCGACTTCTGTGTATTTCAAGAGTGCTACTGCAAGTGCCATGCCAGTCCCTCATTCTACCTCCAGAGTCAAGCCACCGTCCGTGTCGCCCCAGACTCGCCCCTCAAGGCCAAGCCAGCGGTATTGTCACGTCCTCCCCCTCCCATGGGCCAAGCCAACGCTAGTGCCACCTACCGCTAGTCTCATGCAGAGTCTGCACTCTTCATCCCCAGGGCCTGCCCCCACTCTCCTTACCTATAGCCCTGGGCTACACAACTGCTAGTGCCAGTGCTAGAGCAACGCTAGAGCCATTGCCCTTACCACAGGGCCAAACCACCGCTAGTGCCAGGCCAAAGCTCTCATCCCCACTCCCCCCCCTCCCAGGGCCAAGCCAGCCCTTGTGCCTGGCCCTGATACTCATCCCCTACCCTTAGGGCCATTCCAGCGCCCACAGCTCAGTAAGGTGCCACGCCACCTCCCTCCCACTACCACCACCACCACCGATGCCATTCACCCTTTGCGCTCTGTCGCCCCCCTCCCCCCAAGCATACCCATGATTACCCTCCTGAACCCGCCCTCTCGCCGTCCAGGTTTGCAGGGCAGGCAACAGGCTCCTCCGCCGCTACTGCCTCGACTGCTTCTCTGCCGCTTGCCTGCTGCATGCACCTCAGTTGCCTGTACCGTCTGCATGCTGCTTGCCTTCTTTGGTTGGATTGTCATCTTTGTTTCCTGTTGAGAAGATGCTGACGAGGGGTTTCTACACCACGTCAGCACCTGTTGGTCCTAACACCCACACCTGACGCCCCAGGCACCCAGACGTGTGCCACCAGCCTCCCCTCCAGCGTATGCTAAACACCCTTATACAGTAGATGCGTAGCGTTTGCCTCCTCCCACTACGCTTGTGGACATTAAGTCTGGGTGCCCGGTTGCGCCTCAACACCAACAAAGAAACTAACTTTAAAACGATAACTATGAGATAAATTGTTTCCACCTGAGCCGGGAGTGGCGGCACAGCCCTGAGGTCCGAGATGACCACCGCCCCGCCTCGCCCTCTATCTCTCTCTCTCCTTCCTCACCCTCGCCTCCCTCGGACCAGCGTCTTCATGTCACGCAACGGTAGTTTACAAGTGAGATACCAATTATAACTTCAAATTGTATTATCAGGAATCGAAAGAATAGGCAACACTAAATTAAAGCAAAGCCAATGTGTTTACAAGAAATGTCAAGTTATTGCTGGACACAAAGTTTATCAAAGAAGTGAACAATTAGGGAACGTAATGTGAGTGGACGAGGAAGTTATTAACGTAAACACCTGTCTAAAGTTTGCTATATGTTAATTTCCACTCAATGAAATAAAGAAAAGAGTGGCACAATTTAGTTTGTGGTCTGTGTACAGTACTTAGTGTAGCGGCGTGGAAGACACTGGTCCATACTGCCCTCACTAGCCTTCCGTCTACTAGGGCTATATGCTTACACCCTCACCCTGCCCTTCACACCCTCACCTGCCTTCACCACCCTCACCCTGCCCTTCACCTCACCCTGACCTTCACCCTGACCACCACCCTCCCCCTGCCAGCCACCAACCCTCACCCTGCCCTTCACACCTCACCTGACCCTTCACCAACCTCACCCTGCCCATGCACCCTCACCTGACCTTCACCACCTCACCCTGACCCCTTCACCACCTCCTGCCTTCACACCTCACCTGACCTTCACCACCTCACCTGACCTTCACCTCCCTGCCCTTCACACTCACCCCTTACACCAACCCTCACCTGACCTTCCTTCACCCCTCACTGACCTTCACACACCCTCACCCTGCCCTTCACCTCTCACCTGACCTTCCTTCAACCTCACCCTGCCCTTCACCACCCTCACCTGCCCTTCACACCTCCCACCCCTGACCACACTCTCACCCTGCCCTTCACACCCTCACCCTGACCTTCGCCAACCCCTCACCCCTACCCATCACACTCTCACCTGACCTTCACACCAACCCCTCACCCTGACCTCCACATCAACCCTCACCCCTGCCCTTCACACCCTCACCCTTCCACTCTCACCCTGCCCCACACCCCTCCACCCCTGACCTTCACCAACCCTCACCTGCCCATCACACCCTCACCCTGACCACCAATCTTCCCCCTGACCTTCACCACCCTCACCCCTGACCTTCACCACCCCTCCTTTGTTCCACCACCTCACCCCTGACCTTCACCACCCTCACCTCCCCTTCACCATCCCCTCACCCTGACCTTCACCACCCCTGACCTTCCCACCACCCTCACCTTCACCCTCACCCTCCCTTCACCAACCCTCACCCTGCCTTACACCACCCCCCTCACCCTGCCCTTCACCAGCCCCTCACCCTGCCCTTCACACCCCTCCCCCTGCCCTTCACACCCTCACCCTGCCCTACCATCCCCTCACCCTGCCCTACACCACCCCTCCCACCCTGCCCAACACCACCCCTCACCTGCCCAACACCACCCCCCTCACCCCTGCCCTACACCCCTCTCACCCTGCCCCTCACACCAACCCCCTCACCCCTGCCCTACACCACCCCCTCACCCTGCCCCTACACCCACCCCTCACCCCTGCCCTACACCAGCCCCTCACCCTGCCCTACACCAACCTCCTCCACCCCTGCCCTACACCCCTCACCCTGCCCCTACACCAACCCCTCACCCTGCCCTACACCAACCCCTCCCCTGCCCTACACCAACCCCCCTCACACCCCTGCCCCTACACCATCCCCCTCACCCTGCCCTCCCCCACCCCTCACCCTGCCCACACCACCCCTCACCCCCTGCCCACCACCCCCCTCCCCTGCCCTACACCACCCCTCACACCTGCCCCTACACACCACCTCCTCACCCCCCTACACCACCCATTCACCCTGCCTACACCCACCCCTCACCCTGCCCCTACACCAACCCCTCACCTGCCCTACACCAGCCTCCTCCACCCTTCACCAGCCTCCTCCCTACCCTGCCCTACACCAACCCCCTCACCCTGCCCTACACACCCCCCCTCACCCTGCCCTACAACCCCCTCACCCCTGCCCCTACACACCTCACCCTGCCCCTACACCAACCCCCTCACCCCTGCCTGCCAACCCCCTCACCCTGCCCTACACACCACCCCCTCACCTGCCCCTACACCACCCCCCTCACCCCTGCCCCTACCCCCTCACCCCTGCCCTACACCCCCCCCCTCACCTGCCCTACACCCCTCACCCCTGCCCCTCCCCCCACCCCCCCTCACCCTGCCCTCACCACCTCCTCACCCCTGCCCCCACCACCCCTCACCCTGCCTACACCACCTCCCTGCCCCTTCCTTACAGCTGCCCCACCCCTACACCACCCCTCACCCTGCCCCACCACCAGCCCCTCACCCTGCCCCTACACCACCCCCCTCACCCTGCCCCTACCACCCCTCACCCTGCCCTACACCACCTCCCTCACCCTGCCCTTCACTTACAGCTGCCCCTTACCCTACACCACCTAAACTCTTACCCTACACCACCTAAACCTTCACCTTACACCACCTGTCTCCTAAACACTTAAGGAAATCTTTGGTTTTTTACCTTTCCCTAATTCTTTCCAGCTGCATCACCTTACTTAAGCCGCAGCTTTCCCCTCTCCCTCTCCAGCTGCTTTCCCCTCAGTCAAGCCGCAGCTGCTACCCTCCTCCACCTCCAGGAGTTCCCCTCCCCCTCCTCATTCTCCAGCTGTTCCCATCCTCACTCTCCAGCTGCTCTCTTTACTCTTCGTCTCATCTCCTCCTCTTTCTATCCAGCTTTCAGTGCAGCTGGCCTTTTCCTTCAGCTGTCCTCACTCTCCAGCTGCTCTCCTCCCCTCACTATCCAGCTAGTCTTACAATCTGCAGCAGCTGGGTGAGTGAGCCCCTTTGGAACTTGCCCTCCCTCCCTCTCACCCTCCCCTTGCCCACCAGTCTGCAGCTACCCTTGCCCCACCCTCCCCTGCTGCTGCCCTGGCTAGCTGTCTCCTCCTGGTTTTGTTCCCCGGTGACCCCTCCCTCCCACCCTCCCCACACCACTGCTGCTGGGTCGCCCCGCTGTAGTCCGCTCTTCTGCCTCTAGGTATGCCGCGAGTTTCAGCGTGGCGCGTGCAAGAGACCTGAGCAGGAGTGCCGCTTCGCCCACCCGCCCGATCACGTGAGCACGACAGACGAGGGCACTGTCACAGTTTGCATGGACGCTATCAAGAGCCGCTGTTCTCGTGACCCCTGTCGCTACTTCCACCCTCCCCCGCACCTCCAGGCCCAGCTCAGGGCGAGCCAGGGCCGCGCCGCACAACAACCCGTGGTAGGCACAACCCGCACACCGCCGCCGCTCCTCCTCCACCACCACCACCAACCCTACCACCACTCTCTCACTCTTTCTCATCCTCCCTTTCCATTCTTATTTCTATCTTCATTTTCCATCACTCTCTCATCGTTAATACTTGCCCATTTTTCCTTTTCTAAAGTTTCTCCTGGTCTCTAACGTCATTTCTCTTCGTCAGTTTCCGCTCCTTTTTTCCCGTTTCATCTTCCTCTTAGACTTCTTGTCACATATCTCGCCCCCCAGTCTTATTCTCTCTCTCTCTCTCTCTCTGAAGTTCGCTTTATCATCTTTACCACTCTACTTTTTACCTATTCTAGTGTCTCTCTCTCTCTCCCTCTCTCTCTCTCTCTCTCTCTCTCTCTCTCTCTCTCTCTCTCTCTCTCCATATGTATCACTATTGCTAGTTCACCTACATTATCATCATCATTCTCACTTTCTCTCTTATTATACATCACTATATCCACAGCTCATTCTCCAGTCCTCTCATATCTCCACTCTGTGTTCACTCTTCTCTCCTACAGTCTCTCTCACTGTGACTCCTGTAAATGTTTCTTCACCAGTACAAGTGTCCTCTCACAGGAATTTTATACTCTTTTGGTCTTTTACAAATTTTGACTCTTCACCCGTAAGGTCTCTCGCCGGCGTGGTTGTCACGGAACCGTTTGTTGAAAATGGGAAATTCCCGAACACCTGTACTTAAAAGCCCTTGTTTTAAGTAGATGCCACCTTTTACAACAACAGATGAAATTGTTAAGGATTTAGTTGATAAGCACTCGTGAAAATATAGCGTTAAAAATTTCCTGGTATTGGTTAGTTCACCAGGAAAGAATGATAAATGTTTGGGTTATTTGACAACTAATAATTGGAATTCGAGTGTAAATATGCTGGTGACGTGACAGCCAGGCGCGGTAGAGCTGTGTCGGCTGGGTCACGAGGGACCAAGGCAGGAGTGTTTGGTCCCTGGTGGTCGTGTCGGCGGCCCCGCACGTGAGCAGCCCGCTGAGCCCCACACAGTAGTGCCCGCCACCCGCTGCTCCGCGCCCACCCTGCTAGCCCTGCTGGCCCAACCTTCCCTCACAGGCTGCCGGGACGCTCCTGCTGGGCTCATCTGGGTTCTCAGGCCCACACCTCACACTCTTGCCCCTCCTACAGACTCGGCAGGACGCTGGGGGAACACCCTATTGTTGCCACCTGGGTGTTCTCCTGGCTCCTGACCCCCCCTACAGCTGCTACTGTTGGCAAGCCATGGTCAGGAGGCGCGTCCGCCGTGTCCCAGTCCTCGTTACTACTCGTAACAGCTTGTTTATTATGTCATATGTGGTAGCAGGAGCAGGACTGTCCGGCGCGCCTCCCGGCCTACCTGGCCTTCGCCCTTCTTTTTGTTCTGCATATTCTCTTCGACGTGCAGTTCCCTCCTGGCACCAACCATGGGTCGCTTGGGTCGGGATTATAGTGAAGGTGACCAGCGGCGCAGGCTATGTTAGTCCAGTTGTTACTTTAGAAGAGTTGATGTGAACTAGTGTTTGTTAGGTGGCTTGCACAGCTTGTTGGGCAAGTGAGACAGACAGACAGAGAGCCTGCCGGACCGTCGCTGTGATCTTTCTCGCCGGTGTCTCAGTGAGGGATCCTGAGAGTAAGACGGTACCTCGCGCGTCTCTCGATCACACAGGTCTAAGTAACATCACATGATATAAGCATCAGTAACAGTCTCCCAAGCTACGCTACGACTTGGGTTATATTCTTTCAGCAGTAACAGTATAAAATTATGTATATTTCATTTAACTTGCGTCACATTGTCTTCATCTTTTTCTTTGTAGACATTATTGCAAGATACGTTTCCAAAAGACCCTGTGTGTCCACGTCCTCTTTAAAGATAAAAAAAAAATTATCCGTGTCTATCTCACTGCCATCTGTTTTTATTCACTATTTTCAATCCAGTACCCACAACGTCTAGTGACCCCCACCCCACCTCCCTTCTCTTTAACTCTACAAGAACTCTCGCCTCTCCAGTTTTCTGACGTCTCCTGTGGTCTGTGTATGTTGTTTCCTTCCCGAGCGTCGTAGTTTGCAGGGCACTATAGTGGGTCTCCTGAGAGTGTTGCAGCAGCCACCGACGAGTCTTGGCCGAGATGCTACACGGACCACTGAATGCCGCCGCCTCCTCCTCCTCTTCCTTCACGGACGGCCGCCGCCTTCCGTCCTCCAGCTAAGTCCCCCACACCATCAAGACATCTCTGTACTTCCCTTATGAGCATGTACTCCTTTACCTTCAATGGGGTTTAGGTATTACACACACACATATACTTTATATATGTAGGAAACTTGTTATATACAGTACTTGGGTTACATATAGATATAAGAGCCAAGCTGAAGTAACCTTTACGAAGGAAGTCGCTGAAGATGGTAGTGTAGCAGTGTTAATATTAATGGTCCAGCTTTTCTCCTGCTCAGATAATAATGTACTCACACAGTAAAGGTTACATCCTGGCGTCACGCTGTCAACTTTGCCATTCCAGAGAGCGAAGTCCTGGCAGCTTGCTGCAGTGAGATATTCTTTATTATTAGCGAACGGCTCGGTAATAAGCTGCAGTGACCTAAAGATTGTAGTGATATCAACCTACAGTCCGATAACATTAGTAAGATAATTCTATATATAATCTGTGAGTGCTAGCTGCTTTAAACTCATGTATATACGGTAATATCTTAGCATAATTAACGCCTTACACACGTGGGTGAAGTAGTACACACAGTAGCAACGTCTGACACAAAGATGGGTTACAGTGATAGAACATTGTATTAACGTCAATGATAACACATTACCGCTGTATACCCATTATTGGAGACCTCAACAGGATACAACAATCATCTATCAAAGTAACACTACCACGAGAACTTCTTATAATGCTGTTGATGTTATATCTAAAGGCCACTGTTGTAATTCATACCAGTCGTACCGGTCTCCTATTCGGCGTACACTTATAATCGTCAGTCAAGGGTAGAGATTTGCAGATGGTATACCTCTAACCTGCGTAATAAAACCTTAAAAGTTCCATCCAGGACCACGTGACGGGAAACTCATAGCGGATGTTCCTTTTGAATAACACCACACATCAGCATCATATCCCCGTATCAGAATGCAGGGGACTGAAGAGAAGGAGGAAGTTTTCAGCTTAGTTGGCAGTAAAGTCGTAATTTTATTCAGTCTCTCCCCCAACTAGTCGCGCATTTTGGGTGGATTAGGACACGTTCTTTCCAGTGTAAACAAAGTGTGTGTTGCTACTGTAGTCATCAGATGTTTTGGGGTGTCATAGAGAGCTCGAAGGGTATGTGGTTGTAATGGTTGGCGAGTGTACAGTGTTGGGGGGGCATGATGGGTGTTGGCCAGAGTACTAACCAGGGAGTGTTGACGTGGGTGTGTAGGTCAGTACTGTTGACGTGGGTGTGTAGTTTAGTTGTGTTGACGTGGGTGTGTAGTTCACTAGTGTTAACGGGGGTGTATAGTTCACTTGTGTTGACGGGGGTGTACAGTTCACTAGTGTTGACGGGGGTGTACAGTTCACAAGTGTTAACGGGGGTGTACAGTTCACTAGTGTTGACGGGGGTGTACAGTTCACAAGTGTTAACGGGGGTGTACAGTTCACTAGTGCTGACGGGGGTGTACAGTTCACAAGTGTTAAACGTGTACAGGTGTTACAGTTTATTAGTGTTAACGGGTGTATAGTGTCACTAGTGTTGACGGGGTGTACAGTTCACTAGTGTTGACGTATAGTTCACAGTTAGTGTTGACGGTGGTGTACAGTTCACAAGTGTTAACGGGGGTGTACAGTTTACTATTCTGAGTAGTGTTGACGGGGGTGTACAGTTCACAAGTGTTAACGGGGGTGTACAGTTCACTAGTGTTGACGTGGGTGTACAGTTCACAAGGTGTAAGTGTTGACGGGTGTACAGTTCACAAGTGTTTGGGGGTGTACAGTTCACAAGTGTTGACGGGGTGTACAGTTCACTAGTGTTGACGTGGGTGTACAGTTCAAGATGTTGAGGTTCACTACGGGTGGTGTACAGGGAGTGTTGACGGGTGTACAGTTCACAGTGTTGACGTGGGTGTACAGTTTGAGTGTAACGGGGTGTACAGTTCACTAGTGCTGACGGTGGTGTACAGTTCACAAGTGTTGACGGGGTGCAGAGTGTTGACGGTGTGTTCACTAGTGTTGACGGGCAGTGTTGACGGGGGTACTAGTGTTGACGTAGGTGTACAGTTCACTATTGACGGTGGTACACTGGGTGTTGACGGGGGTGAGTTCAGTGAGGTTGTTAACGGGTTACAGTTCACTAGTGTTGACGGTGGTCAGTTAAGTTGACGGGGTGTACAGTTCACTAGTGTTGACGGTGGTGTACAGTTCACTAGTGTGTTGACGTGGGTGTTGACAGTTCACAGTGTGACGGTTCACTAGTGTTGACGTTGACGTTAGGTTGTACAGTTCACTAGTGCTGACGGGGTGTACAGTTCACTGTGCTGACGGGGGTGTACAGTTCACAAGTGTTAAGTACAGTCACTAGTGCTGACGGGGGTGTACAGTTCACACAGTGTTAAGGGTGTACAGTTCACAAGTGTTAACGGGGTGTGTACGACGTAGGTGTACAGTTCACTAGTGTTGACGTGTACAGTTCACTAGTGTTAACGGGGGTGTACAGTTGACGTAGGTGTACGGTTCACTAGTGTTGACGGGGTGTACAGTTCACTAGTGTTACAGGTGTACAGTTCTGAACGTAGGTGTACAGTTCACGTTGAGGTGTACAGTTCACTAGTGTTGAGGGGGTGTACAGTTCACTAGTGTTAACAGTGTTGACGTAGGTGTACACTAGTGTTGACGGGGTGTACAGTTCACTAGTGTTAACGGGGTGTACAGTTCACAAGTGTTGACGTAGGTGTACAGTTCACAGTGTTGACGGGGGTGTACAGTTCACTAGTGTTTGTACAG